TAGTTTTTATCTACGATTTAATCCAGAAAGTAGCGAAAATTTCTTTTTAAATATATTGAAAAATTTTTGGAGACGTAAAAATGTGACATTAGAAACTAAACAGAATAGATTTTATGTTTACTACAATCGAGTTTTTATGAAAAAGAATAGAATTCTACACATGCAGTAACCAAAAAAAGTTGTAATAAAATGATTTTTTCTCTTTTTTTTTACTGCAGTAGTCAAAATATAAATGATGTTTGCCAATTTTTTTTTGTCCTAAAACTTTTTATTTTTAAGTATACGGTTTAAAGCTTGAAAAAAACGATTCATAGCATCTGTTAAAAAGCACTTTTTTAGAAATTTTAAGTTTTTATCTACGATTTAATCCAGAAAGTAGAGAAAATTTCTTTCTAAATATATTGAAAATTTTTAGCGACAGTAAGAATGGGCTACTAGAAACTAAACAGAATAGATATCAGGTTTATTACAATCGAGTTTCGTTGAAAAAGAATTGAATTTTTCACGTTAAGTATTTAAAAAAAGTTGTTATAAAATGATTTTTTCTCTTTCTTCGTACTAGAGTTGTTAAAATATTAAAGATGTTTGCTAAATATTTCGGACTTAACACTTTTTATTTGTAAGCATACTCTTTAAAGCTGGAAAGAAAACGTTTCATATCTTCTGTTTAGTAGCTCTTTTATAGAAGTTTTATAGTTTTAATCTACGATTTAATACAGAAAAAAGCGAAAATTTCTTTTTAAATCTATTGGAAAATTTTTAGCGACAGTAAAAATGGGCTTCTATAAATTAAATAGAATGGATGTTAGGTTTATTACAATTGGGTTTCGTTGTAAAAGAATTAATTGCTACACGTAAAGTAACCAAATAAATTTGTAATAAAATGATTGTTTCTCTTTTTTTTGATTGCAGTAGTCGAAATATAAATAATGTAAGCTAAATTTTTTCAGACTGAACACTACTTATTTGTAAGCATACGCTTTGAAGCTGGAATGAAAACGTTTCATATCTTCTGTTTAGTAGCTCTTCTATAGAAGTTTTATAGTATTTATCTACGGATTAATCCAGAAAGTAGCGAAAATTTCTTTTTAAATATATTGAAAAATTTTTAGCAACAGTAAAAATGGGCTACTAGAGACTAAACAGAATGGATGTTCGGTTTTTTACAACCGAGTTTCCTTGAAAAAGAATTAAATCCTACACGGAAAGTTACCAAACAAATTTGTAATAAAATGAGTTTTTCTCTTTGTTTAGATTGCATTTGTTGATATATAAATGATATTTGCTAGATGTTGTTGGAAATAACACCTTTTGTTTGTTTGTTAACGCTTTAACACTTGAAAGAAAACGTTTTATAGCTTTTGTTATATAGCACTTTTATAAAAATTTTATAGTTTTTATCTACGATTTATTCCAAAAAGTAGCGAAAATTTCTTTCTAAATATATTAAAAATTTTTAGCGACAGTAAAAATAGGCTACTAGAAACTAAACAGAATGAATGACAGGTTTATTACAATCGAGTTTCATTGAAAAAGAATTAAATTTTTCACGTTAGGTATTTAAAAATAGTTGTTATAAAATGATTTTTTCTCTTTCTTCGTACTAGAGTTGTTAAAATATAAATGATGTTTGCTAAATATTTCGGACATAACACTTTTTATTTGTAAGCATACGCTTTAAAGCTGGAAAAAAAACGATTTATATCTTCTGTTTAGTAGCTCTTCTATAGAAGTTTTATAGTTTTTATCAACGATTTAATCCAGAAAGTAGCGAAAATTTCTTTTTAATATATTGAAAAATTTTTAGCAACAGTAAAAATAGGATACTAGAAACTAAACAGAATGGATGTTAGGTTTAYTACAACCGAGTTTCGTTGTAAAAGAATTAAATTCTACTCGTAAAGTAACCATATAAATTTGTAATAATATGATTTTTTCTCTTTTTTTTTGATTGCAGTAGTCGAAATATAAATGATGCTAGCTAAATTAT